AAAAATCTTTGCGCGCGCCGACGCCGCGCGAACCTACCGTATTGTTTTCTATTCAGGGGGCCCGAATTGGCTTCGGAAAAAAGAAGTACAAAGTCCGACAGCAGTTCTTGTTCATTCGAACCAGGATTCGCTGTCGGCGTCGTCACGGCCGTTGTCCTTTGGAGACGCAAGCCCGCCTGCCCAGAAGCGGCCGCTGTCGGTTTGGGATAACGGTTGTAGATGGGCATCGTGCCCATTTCGAGTTTCCAAGTCTATTTTCTCCCCAGGGACTCATACCCACTGGATTGGAAGAATCAAGACGGAGTTTGTTCGCTGTCATCGGCTTCTAGAGGTCCTCGGCCGTCGCTGGGGCTGTCAAGAAACGACTCAGGATGGAAAGCAGGTCCCCGGGAGAAGGTCGGCGGCCAGGAGCACTCCAGGCCTCCCAGATGGGGGTCCGAGCAGATGGCGTCGAAGGATCGCGCCGCATCGCCGATATGTCTTCGATGCGGCGCGATCTTCTGACCCCATCTACGGTAGGTTCTCGTCGTGTCGACCGGCTGCGACCCCTCCAGCGGCGTTCAACGTTGAACGCCGCGGGCGACCCAGAGTCTTTCGATGTGGAACGATGTGGACGTTTCGAGAACGGCCGATCGTTCAAGGTTGACCGATCCCCGCGGTGTCAGGAACCAACGCCGGGGTCGACACGACACGGACCTGCCGTACTCGGACCCCACCTGGAAGGGTACTATACACACACACGGCCAGGAGATTGCTCTCATCCTCTCGGGCGAGTGGCGGCCGTCACCCGGGCCAAACCTTCAGTCGGGCGTGTCCCCCTACAGGGGGATTCTCGAGGAAAAATAATAGATATTTTAAAAATTGTCAAAACATAGTCTGGGGACTAATTTTTGATTATTTTTTCACCTTTTTGGTGTATTTTTGGGGTATCTGGGATTTTCCGTCCGACATAAGCCAAACCCTCCCTCCCCGGCCCACCCCCTTGGGAGACGGCTGCCATCGCCCCTGCGCCCTGAGGCGGGGGGGGGGAGCCCGGACCTCCCCCCCTGCATGCTGGTGCTCGCGCGCGTGCGCTGGCGATCGCAGCGCACCCCCGCCCCGACGTGCCCCGCACCGCCCAGGCGTCTTCGTTACCTGGCCTTATGTCGGGCCCATCCCCCTACGGGGGAATGATCGACGAAAAATACAAATACCCCAAACATAGTCAAAAAATAGTCCCAAATAGTCTGGCGACTATTTTTTGAGCATTTTTTGGCCTTTGTAGTGCATGTTTGGGGTTTTCGTCGAAAATCCCCCTGTAGGGGGACAGGCCTGACTTAAACCTGGCCCCCTTCTCCCCCTCCTCCCGGGGGGTAACGACCGGTCCCGCAAATGGTAAAAAGCAGTTTCCAGACGTCAGGAGCCACGACAGGGGGGTGATAGGCATATAGGGGGGGGATGCATCGACCCTCAATCGCCGATCGATCGCCGATAGGGGCCCGATAGCCCCACTCTGCCCAGGAAGGTGCGGATTCACGATTGGGGGCCTATCGCCGATCCATCGACGATGTATCGCCGATTCCAGGTCGATGCATCCCCCCGTATGCCTATCCCCCCGTATCGTTGCCCCTCAAGACGGCGCCGGTTAATGCGACCAAGCGATTCAGATGTCGTCGTCGTCGTCGCTGTCGAGGCCGCTGGGCCGCAGCCAGCGACCTGGACGTGAAACATGTTTGTGCTTCATCGTCAATGCCTGAGCTGTATTCTTTAAGCCGTTTGGTCGCATTTTCGTATGGTGTGGAAAGGGTTGCCGTAACTTGGCTACCAGAGGGGTTGGGTTGTCATCTGGCTGGGGCTGGCCGGTGGGCTGGCCGGGGTACTCGTTCGACAGGTAGTTCTTCACATCGGAGACTCAGCACACCTACGCAGATTTGTCCAGGCTCATTTTGGTTCCAGGGTCGGTGTGCAGGTGCGCGCCCTCCTGGCTCGATCCCTGGCCTGGCAAGGGTCGGTGCAGGTCCCCACTCCTCTGCTCTCCTCTCCCCTCCCCTCTCCCCTCCCCTCTCCCCTCCTCGCCTCTCCTTCTCCTCTCCTTCTCCTCTCCTCTCCCTTCCTCTCCTCCCCGTCCTCCTCGGGATGGTTCTGTTTGTTCTGTGCGAGGGTGATCTTAAGACAGGTCCCGCCCTGTTGGCGTCAATTAGTGCTCATCAGTATATCCCTATCAGTGCCTCCTGTCGCCTTCTGGCACATGTTAGCGACCACTCGCCCGCAGCAGCAAGCGCTCATAGCCTGGGAAGCCAACAACTCATGCTCAGAATAGTACTCACGATCAACACGCCTCAGGACGGGCCCCCCCGGGGCCCGGGACTCTGGCACGCCTCGGGCGGGCGGCAGTGGGGGGTGACCTACATGGGAGGGTGAAGAAAAGGTACCCAAAGGGGCCCTTTAGGCCCCCCTTTGGGACCCCTGCTGTGTCCAGAACGGGCCCTAAGAGGCCCCGTTCTTCACCCCCCCTTCAGTTGGCCGCGCGCACAGGGGGACGCGGGGAGGGGGGACGGCTTCCGAGAAGGAGGCTGCTCCTTAGAGAAGGTGCCAGCCCTGCATCTACAGACAAGGCCCGCACCCTCCTCCTCCTCCTCCTCCTCCTCCTCCTCCTCCTCCTCCTCCTCCTCCGCCTCCTCCTCCGCCTCCTCCTCCTCCTCCTCCTCCTCCTCCTCCTCCTCCTCCTCCTCCTCCTCCTCCTCCTCCTCCTCCCCCCAAGGGGCCTTCCCCCCTCCCCCTGCCCCCCCTGAGCTCGCCGCCAGTTCCGGCCACCCCCCCCCGCCGCCGCGCGCCGTGCCCGCTTCGCGGCCCCCCGCGGCCCCCCGCATCGACCTCTTCGGCGCGGCGGTCGGCGGCCAGGGCCCGGCGTGAGCGGGCCCCGGCGCCTCGGGGGCAGCGCGGCCCCCCCCTGCCGGCCGTCGAAGCTCGACGCTTCGGGGGCGGGCGGGGCACAGCGGTGCAGCGCGGTCACCACAGTCGAAACACCGAGGGCAGCCGGCGGCGAGCGCGCGTTCCGAGCAGGTGGGGTCCGAGCAGGAGGGGTCCAGGTATCGGGCCGGGCCGGACGAAAGGGGGGGAGTGGGGAAGGGGGGGGTACGAAATCTGCTGCATGCAGCTGGTTTCGACCTCACCGAGGGGCCCATTCCTCGATACATAGCCGCCTCTGGCGGTGGGAGGCGCTGGGAAAATCAGCTACGCGAGCTGATTCTCAAACCCCCACTTTGCTATCCCCCCCTTTCGCCCGACCCGAGAGTAGCTGGGGGCCGGACAGCTCATGGGGCAACAGGGAAGGTACAGACCTACTGCAAAGGGCTTCCACTGTTTGGACTGTGTGGGTCCTTGCTCGGGGCCTCTTGCTGTGTTCCTGAGAGCCTCGTGGTTGAGATGCAAGCCCTGGGAGGAGCAATGCAGCATCAGTGCTCGTGCATCCGTGGTCGGAAACGGGCTTACATCCCGGGCTTCAATCCAGTCTAGTGTGCAGTGTCAGTCGGCTTACAGTCAGCGGCTTGAATATGGAACACTAACTTTTCAAAAGGGGTTCCGTCGTTCTTTAGGCTTGCATGCGTTATTCCTCGTACCGTATACGTTATTGATTAGTTATCGTCCTTTATGCGTTACTCCCTGGAGAAACAAGGGGCTTCGTTCCTTATTTATCGTTCTTTAAGTCAGGCCGATGACGGTAGTTTCCCCGCTCAATCCGGCCTGATTTTGCGCAGTGCCCGCTGACCCAGCCTGTTGTCCTGTGCGAAGACCTCCCTGGCGCTGCCACCGTCTCCTGGGGCGCCCCGGCGGCCTCCTCGCGGTCCAGCCGCGGCCGCTTGCAGAGCGGCAGCCTGGCCGCCCGAGCGAAAGAAGGACGTACATGTACATGAACCCACGCTGGTTTCGAGAGTACGCATTGCGCAAATGTTCGTATAACGCGGCTGGTCTCGCGGATCGAGGGGCCGTGTTCATGTACATAGCTGGGCGCGTGCGTCCTTTGTGGGCTCCCTATGGGCCCCCCCCCTCCCGGGGGGCGACTGCGCGGGGTGCCTGCGGTGCCCTCCCGGCTGGCTGGCGCGCGGGCGTCCCAACCACTCCCTCTCGCTGCCAGGAATGATCGGCTCGTTTTCCACCACCAGCACCATCAGTTGGACGGGGAGGCGGTCCTCCTTCTCCTCCTCCTCTTCCTCCTCCTCCTCCTCCTCCTCCTCTTCCTCTTCCTCGTCCTCTTCCTTCTCCTCATCCTCCACCTCCTTCCCCCCTCCAACTTATAGTGGTGGCGGTGGTGGTGGAAAACAGGCCCATCAGGGGATACGGTCGGTTCGTGTCGTGGCGACCACCCCGCCGCGGGCGTTGCCTGTTTTATGCCGCGAGTGGCTCCAGACTTGTTTTGGGAGCCGTGAGCGCGCATAAGCAAGAGCGGGTAACTCCTGCGAGCGGCTGTCTTCCCGCACGGCACCCTTCCAAACGTCAGGCTGAACCTCTGCAGGTTGACTCAACTGCAACCTGCGTGGGCTCCAGGTGGCAGGAGCGTGCTTGGAAGTCCAGCGAGATCTGCCTCTCCTCCGCTTCTCCTCGGGAGGCATCGTGGAAAACTGCCTCGCGTACCGGTGATCATTGCTCTACGTGCAGTCTCTGTAAACAAGGCCGAGCTACCGTTGCTGCAGGAGAGTAGGTACTCAGTTTCTGGTATCCCGCCTCGCGAGCAGTGTAGGCTTCGCAGCACCTTCCGGAGGCAACGGGTCTGGAAGCCGTCCACCGAAGCGGTCTGCTTTCTTCGATCACGTAGCTTGCGCGCACTCGTCAACGATGCGGATGCTTCTGGACACGGTAAGTGCAGTTTGTGGCCAGTTGCGCGCCTGTGTGCCAACTTCCGCCCTGGCCGCGCCAGCGCGTCTGCGCAATTCCGCTTGGCCGCCTCCGTCCGCAGAGCCGGTACCATCTGGGCCGTATGGGACGAGCTGGCGATCCAGACATGCCGTTGATCGTTCGGGGAGGAGCGATCCAGGCGGTGTCAGAAACCAGCGCCAGGGTCGCGACGACACGAGCCCGCCGCAGCCGCGCGCGCGCGCGGTGCTCCTGGCCGGGGCACCCCCGAGCGGGGATGGCGGCGATGGCGATGGCGCGGCCGAGCCCCGCCGCCGCGTGCGACATCGACGGCGGCCGCCAGTCCCCCTTCGAGGACGCGTACTCGGACTACTCCGACCACGACTTCCGCGCCCCATCCCGGGGGGAGGATCCCCGCCGCCCGTGGAACTCGGGGGCCCCCGAACGGTGCGGTGACCACAGCGTGTGGTGAGGCAGTGGGGATTTCGGGGTGACCGCGCGGCTTGGGGACTCGGGGCGTTCTCCGAGGACCTCTTGGGCGACTGGGGCTCCCAGTGTCCCAGAATCGTGCGGTGACTGACCGTGCGAGGATCATCATGCATCCAGCTCGTCGCAAATAGTAGTGTCAGGTAGGCTTACTGTCCCAGCTCGTACTGGTGAGGTTTGAGATTTCGAGGTCGCCGCACGGTCTGCCACCGCTTCGTTTTGGGACCCCTTCAACCGCAAACATGGGTTAAGGCCTTCGGATCAGCGACGGGTCCCGCTTCAGTGCTACATCGCCGCACTTCGGGGGGGAGCTTTCCTGTGATTCGTGAATCTGGCGGCCACGCGCCAGGTCCACAGATTACCAGCCTGGAACATATCCCTATCCCTATGCTGGGCACCTCCTCATCACGATGCCAATCTTAGGGATTCCCTTATTTTGTGAGAGCGAATGCCCAAGATTGTCATCGCCTTTTGGCGTGTCAATCTTAGGGATCGGGGTACGTTCGAGGCTGGTCCACGGACCCGCAGTCCATCTTAGCGTGTGCCCGACAGATGTGCCGATACCGCTGGCCCTCCCCCAGCCTTTCCGTGGTTTTTCGGGCCTCTCGGGGGCCCTCGCGGCCCTGGGAGTTCCTGGTCGGAGCGCACCCCGCCCGGGAGAGGCCCAGGGAGTGGCGGCATTCGGGGGCGGAAAAGAGGGGGGTGACGACTAGGGGGGGGTGGACATCATGGCGTGGGCCATGCTATTTCCCCAGATTTCATGGCGCCTCTTCTCATTTCATTACGTTCCTGGCCCCCCCGCTGGGCCGCGCACATGCCGCCGGTCATGATTTGCACCCCCCCCCTCTTGGACACCCCCCTCTTGGCCGCTCCCGAGGTATCGGTGTCTGTTTTTGCTCCCCCAATCCCATACCCTCGCACATGCCGGGGCCGGATCAGTGTGTTATTGAGCATCTGGGAGCTGCGGGGATTCAGCCAGAGGGTGGTCTCGATGAGCGGGAGCTGATCACGCTGGGCACGAAGACGCACTTCACTGCACCGTGCCCAGATGTTAGCAGTGGGCTCACGGCAGCCCCAGCTCCTTCGTGCCGCGTGGCCATTTGTCCGCACCGCCCGGGGGAGTGGGGCGCCACCTCTCTGCTGTGACCGCCCTCCCCCGGGTCATCGCCAGGCTGGGGCTCCTTCTCGGGGCGTCGAGGGAGGGGAAGGGGAAGCATGCGGCCACGCGCGGAGGGGGGGCAGGGGGGAGCAGGGCAGGCTTCTCAGAAGCACCTCTGCTTCTTAGAAGGCGCGGGCTTTGGCTCTACATGCAGGGCTGGCGCCTTCTGAGAAGTAGCCTCCTTCCAAGAGGCCTTCCCCCCCCTATCCACTCGTGCGCGCCGCCAAATCGTGGGGACGGGGGGTGGCCTAGTGTCAGGAGAGGAAGTTCAGAGCAAGAGACCTTTCTCAGAGTGGAACCGAACGATTCGCTCCCTCCCCTCCGCGGGGGTCTGGCGTCCTGGCTTTTTTCGACCCGGGTTCCCTCGGAAGTCCCGACCCTTCCCCAGGGCCGGCTTTCCATCCGGAGGAGTCTGTTGATGGCCCCAGGGCCTGAAGACACGTCCCAGAGGGCGAAAGCATTGGACCTCCTCCGCCTCGTTGTTTGTCAAGACGCTGGATGCCTGGGCCGGCCAGCCGGTGAGGAACAGCACGACGCCGAGATGTCGCCTCTGGCGGCCCCGCTGGCGTCGCGGCTGGCCGAGGCCGTCGGGGCCTTCTGACTCCCTCTCTCTCTTTCTCTCTGTCTCTCTGTCTCTTGCGCGCTCTGTCTGCACTTGTCATTTCGTCCCTTCGTGTCTATCTAATTTGCGGCCTTCGGCCCGTCCCGCCTCCGTGCCGTGGTTGTAGGTCAGAGGCCCCGGGGCCTGTCTTTTGGGGCCCGAGATAGTAATGCGGGCAGACGCCTGTGGCGCGCCCGGAGCGCCGGGAGGTGTGAGAAATTGGGACTTAGGCTCATCAAAAGATTTTCGGGGTTGATGCTTGAGAGGCTCAGTGGATTGGGCAAGCGAGACACTCCAACTCGTGCCTCGCAGGCACAGTGGCGGTAATGTCTGTGTGCATCGACATCTGCTCGGCTCTCGAATCAACCAGCACGTATGCAACACCTGTGGCTTATAGAATACCCTCAGGATTGCGGCTTGAGAGGCTCAGGGTATTGGGCAAGCGACCCGTTGGCTCAGGGTTGGAGTGTCCTTGAAGAAGGACACTCCAACCCGTGCCTCGCATGCACGAGGGCAGATCTGTCTGTACGTCTCCCATGGAGTTTTCACGCTTCGACGGCCGCGGGCTCCTTATCCGCGGCGCTGTGGCTCGATCGCGCACGCTCTTGTGTGAGCAGAGGTGGGTGTCTGTCACTCACTGCGGCATCGTCTAGCCTATCCCCACCTCGCGCTTTCTTTGACGATCCCATACCTCCGATGCTACGTTTTTCAATGCGCGGCCCCATGGGTTCCGACCCCCTCTCGAGGGAAAGTTCTCCACCCCGGATTTTTGTTGCATGGCCGCGGGGCCCGATGACGGGCCCTGGAGGCCCCGCCAGCCCAGCCTCCCCCACGTGGCGACGGACCCCGCGAGACCCGAAGGGAGCAGCGGGTAGCCCCATCTGGAAGGGTCAGTTGGCTTACGAGCCACGGCCACGGCAATGGGGATGAGGATAGGTTTCAGTGTGCTCGTTTCTCTCCTCGTCTGCCCACCTCTCGGCATCCTCATCCTTCTGCTCCTGCTTCTGGTTCCATTCCTGGCGATCCTCTTCCGGCCTCTCCTCTCGCTCTGGTCCTCAGCGTTACTCTTTCTGGCCATCATTGTCCTCCTCTTCATCATCTTCATCGCTGTCGTCCTCCACCTTGATAGCTGGCCCTTGGGCTGAGTGAGGTAGTGAGTTACGAAGCGATGCAGGAATCGTTCTGGCAGGTCTTCTGCGGGGGCGTTGCATCGGGCATCCAGGATTCTCTGTTCGTGTGAGGCCCGCCCCCAGTCAAAGGGAGGACCCAACCACGAGAAGGAGGACACACACACACGACAGGGAATGACCCAAACACGACCAGACAGAAACAACTGCACGGCAGCCGTCAGAGGCGAAAGTGGGAGGCGATTCGCTTTCGCCTCCCACTGTCGCCTCCCGCTTTCGCCTCCCGCTTTGGCCTCCCGCTTTCGCCTCCCGCTGTCGCCTCCCGCTTTGGCCTCCCGCTTTGGCCTCCCGCTGTCGCCTCCCGCTGTCGCCTCCCGCGTTCGCCGAGAGCGGGGGGCGACGGCGAGGGCGGGAGGCGGAGGCGAAGGCGGGAGGCGACGGCGAAAGAGGGGGGCGAAAGCGGGAGGCGACGCCTCTTTGTCAGGCTTTTTTTGCCGTGAATTTGCCCCCCCATCTTGTCGTCAAGTTGCTTGTCGCAAAGCCAGCGCACCCATCCCCCAGTCGCTTCCGTACGTCAAGACGTCCGGTGGTAGACGAAACGCCGCAGAGTGCAGGGAGGGAGGGAGGATGAAGGGGATGAGAGCGGGGATGATCGCACGCCGATCAGGGAAAAAGAGAGAGAAAGAGAGAGAGAGAGAGAGAGAGCGAGGAGGGAGAGGTCCGACGGTCCACCCGAAAACCTCCCGGGGGGGGGGCCCTTCGGAGAGGGCTTTTCTGCCTCCACGCTGCGGCCTGGAGCCAACTGCACCGAGGGGCGGGAAGGAGAAGGGGATGGGGGAGGGGGGGTGGAGGTGGGGAGAGAGGAGAGGGGAGAGGGGATGGCGAACGGGGGAGGGGGATGATGGCAAGGGGAGGAGGAGGGGACTGGGCGGGGAGAGGGAGCTGGATGGGGACGCGGAGGGGTGACGGGGGCCAGCCCCGCTGGTTCCAGGCGGCCTCCCGCCAGCAGCGGCTGCGGTACGACCTCGACGGGGGCCGCCAGTCGCCCTTCGAGAGCGATGACGACTACGACTACGACAGCTGCGCTGGGCCCATGGGCGAGGCCGAGCTCGCCGGCGGCGGCGCCAACGCCCCAGCGGCCCGCCGCCGTCTTCGGCGGCCTTGGGCGGAGCTGCGGCGGCCTTCGCCGCTCTCTGTGCCTGCGATTCTCTGGCGTGGCTTCGGCCTCGCAATCACACGCCGAGCACCCGTCGGGGCGCGCGGTTGTCGGTGCGTTGTCGTCTTCCTCTTTGCTCTTCGCTAGGGTTAAATCGGGCGTGTCCCTCTCTCTTACACACACATATATATGACTATATATATATATATACAAGACTGCATTGGCGCTGCGCGCCATGCACCTTGGTCCTTTGAGTTCCGCACGCAAGCGGAATGCGTGCGTGCGTACATGCGCGCATGCATGTATACACGCGCACGCGCATGCACGTTCCGTAGTTATGTCTAGGTGTATTCAACATACTTACACTGTCGTATGTGTGTATACAGCGTACATATGTACATATATCTTTTTATATGTGTAAGTGCATGAACATGCATATGCAACTCGTACGTGCTTTGCCCGTGCACGCCCATATGTATACATACATATATAAACACATATGTATATGTATATAAATATGGGTTTGCATACACATGCGCATCTCAGGCGGTAGTGGCCTGACCAGTTGCTCAGGGCATCTCGCAACTGAAAGGTGCGAGGGTCTCAGGCGAACATGGCCAGATTACCATGGGACAATGCATCGCCGAGGTCAGTGTGCGAGGATGTCTCAAGCGAAAATGGCCTGAACACTTCCGCTCAGGACATACCGCAACTCAGAGTTGCCGGGATCTCTCAAGCGAGAACGGCCTGAACACCTCAGCTCAGGACAGACCGGAACTCAGTGACGCGAGGATGTCTCAAGCGAAAGTGGCGGAATACCATGGGGCAGGGCATCTCGGAACCCAGAGCTGCGAGAACGTTTCTAGCGAAACTGGCCCGAACACCTCAGCTCAAGGAGCCCTGGAACGTAGAGTTGCGAGAGAGTCTCAAAGCGGAAGTGGTTGGACCACCTTGGGGCAGGGCTTCTCCGAGGTCAGAGTTCGGAGGAGGTCTCAGGCCACAGTGGTCTGATTTCCTCAGCTCAGGGCACCTCGGCACCGAAAGTTGCGAGGATGGCTCTGGCGAAAGTGACCGGAACACCGCAGCTTAGGACATCCCCGGACGTTGAGTTGCGCGGGTGTCGCATGCGGAAGTGGCCGGACCACCTTGGGGTAGGACACCTCCGAGGTCAGAGTTGCGAGGATGTCTTAGGCGCAACTGGCCCGAGCACTATGGGGCGCGGCATCTTCGAAGTCAGCTTTGCGAGGAAGTCTCAAGCGAAGAGTGGTCTGAACACCTCAGCTCAGGGCATCCCGAAATCCAGAGTTGCGAGAAATCGCAGGCGAAATTCGGCTAACTTCCATGGTGCAGGGCACCTCCGAAGTCAGACTTGCGAGACGTTCCCAGGCGAAATTGGCCTGAGCACCTCAGGCCAGGGCGTCTCGGGCTCCAGAGTTGCGAGGATGTCTCAGGCGAAAATGGCGGGACCACTGCGAGGCAAAGCGTTTCCGAGGTGGGAGTTGTGAGCATACCCGGGCGAAGCGCATTTCACGATTCCCTCTTGCTCCTCCCCCTCCTCGTTTTCTGTTTGGGTGATACTCGCCACTCGTCTTCCGCACTCCCATTGCGTATAATTCCCTCTTCCTGTGTCTTCATTTTCTTATTCGCGTTCTCCTGGTCCACATCCTCTTCCTCCTCCTCTCCTCATCCTCCTCCTGAGTTGCCGGCCGGTCCGGGCCGAGCAAAGCCGGCGGGCTGGCCGAAACGGGGACGACGACGATAACGACGACGATTACGACAACGAACGACGACGACGACGACGACGACGACGACGACGACGACGACGACGACGACGACGACGACGACGACGGCGACGACGACGACGACGACGACGACGACGACGACGACGACGACGACGACGACGACGACGTGTGGACGGCTGGCGCCCTCCTGGGCCGGCCACGAGGACGACGACGACGACGACGACGACGACGACGACGACGACGACGACGACGGCGGCGGCGGCGGCAGTGACGGCGACGACGACTGGGTCACAATCTGGAATGTCATGAGAGCAAAGTCAATGAATGTTGTCATTCGGAAACATCGTGGGGGTGTTTTCGGGGTCCTCGTGGGCGGTTTTGGCGGCTTCATGGGCCGTCCTGGGGCCTTCTTGGGCCGTCTTAGGGAGCTTGAGCCCGCTGGAGCCCCCTTTGGACCCATCTTGGGCACTTCCGGGGACCTCCCATGGCCCTTTTGGGTCTGTGCTGGGAGCCCTTGGGGGGCCTCTTGGGTCCATTATGGGCTGTCTTGGGGCTCTCGTGGGCGATCGTGGGGCCCGGCTCGGCCGTCTTGAAGCTTTCTTGGAGGCCTTTTGGGGCGTCTTGAGGCGATCTCGGGGGCTTTGAAGCCGTCTTGAAAGCTGATGAAATCCGAAAGGCGAATATGCTAAACTTGTAAGAATTACGAGAGGAATGGGACGATTTTGGTGTTTTGAAAGCTTTTTGGGGTGCCTTGGGGGTCTTTTGGGCCGTCCTGAAGCAATTGGAGTCCCTCTTGGAGCGGTCTTGTGCTGTCTGGTGCCGCCCTTGAGCCTTTCTGATGACCCCTCTGATCGTTCTGGGTCTGCTAGCAAGGCGTTTGTGGAGACCCGGAAAGCCGGGTGACCTTTTCCAAGGTCGTCCAAGGGAGCCCGAGAACCCCAGATCCCGGGCATCCAGTTTTTTTTTGGGGGGGGGGGAGTGAGGGTTTCCCCCCCCCCCCCCACCCGGGCTTGCAAAAATATAGGAAGGGGAATACATATATAACCAGTTGTGAGTTTTTCACCAAAAATTGTCAATTTTTATTTTTCGTCCAGAAAGCGCCTGTAGGGAGTCACGCCTGACCTGACGCCAGGGTGGGATTGCTTGGCCGGGCGAGCTGCCCCAGTGCCGTGTGGCAGCCAGAGGGAGGGGCGGCGTCCCAGCATGAAGCCTCTGCCATGATGCCTGGGGGCCTGCTCGGGTCCAGGGTGAATTCTGGCCTGTCCATCTACAGGAGGAATGTCCAATTTTTTGAGCATTTGTTTTGTATGTTTGAATCCTTTTTGAGTATGGTAGTGGCCTCCGGCCAGTGCCGCCGATCCGGGGTGCTACCGATTCTGCTTGCAACGGAGATTTTTTTGCTTAGAAGAAAAGCACTCGCTCGAGACATCCTCATAAGATGGAGATGTTGAACTCGCTTGGGCAACCCTCGGATATTCGAAAGTGACGATCTCGTGTGAACAGTCAAACTCATGGGACGTCCCCTCCCGCCTTCCCGGCCTGAATGGCGTCAGAGATGGCGTCAGCCCCCCGACTTCTCCCTCCCGGGCCTGAATGGCGTCAGCCATGGCGTCAGGGCTCCTTCCCTCCCCCCATCCAGATCCCCCTCCCGGGCCTGAATGGCGTCAGCCATGACGTCAGCTCCTTCTCCCGTCCCTTCCCACAACTTCCTCCTCCCGGGCCTGAATGGCGTCAGCCATGGCGTTCCCCCCCCCCCCCCCTCTCCTCACAATACCGCGATTCCGCCTGACGCTGTCCGGGCGCCCGGGCGGCCCGGGCGTCCGGGCGGCTGGGCGCCCAGGCGTCCGGGCCGCCTGGGCGTTCGGGCGCCGGGCGCTCTGGGCGTCCGGGCGGCCCGGGCGGCCCGGGCGTCCAGGCGGCAGGGCGGCTGGGCGCCGTCCGGGCATCCCGGCACCCAGGCGTCCGGGGCGCCCGAGCGGCCGCGGCGTCTGGGCGGCTGGAGGCCCGGGCGTCCGGGGCGCCCGGGCGGCCGCGGCGTCCGGGCGGCTGGGCGCCCGGGCGCCTGGGCCGCCCCGGCATTCGGGCGCCGCGCGCTCTGGGCGTCCGGGCGGCCCGGGCGGCCCGGGCGTCCGGGCGGCTGGGCGCCGTCCGGGCATCCCGGCGCCCGGGCGTCCAGGGCGCCCGGGCGGCCGCGGCGTCCGGGCGGCTGGGCGCCGGGGCGCGTGGGCCGCCCGGGCATCCCGGGCGCCGGGCGCTCTGGGCGTCCGGGCGGCCCGGGCGGCCGCGGCGTCCGGGCGGCTGGGCGGCTGGGCGCCGCCGGGCATCCGGCGTCCGGGCGTCCCGGGCGCCCGGGCGGCCGCGGCGTCCGGGTGGCTGGGCGCCCGGGCGTCCGGCCGCCCGGGCGTTCGGGCGCCGGGCGCTCTGCATGGGCGTCCGGGCGGCCCGGGCGTCCAGGCGGCGGCGGCTGGGCGCCGTCCGGGCATCCCAGCGTCCGGGCGTCTGGGGCGCCCGGGCGGCCGCGGCGTCCGGGCGTCTGGGCGGCTGGGCGCCCGGGCGCCCGGCCGCCTGGGCGCCCGGCCGCCGGGCGCCACGGGCGCCCATGGGCCTCCCGGCGTCCAGGCGTCCAGGCGCCCGCCCGGACCCCGTCTCGCTTTGTCTTGCAATTAATGATGATGTTTTTGCCATGAATACAACAGTTCCACCCGCCTGCCCCCTTGACATCCCGCGTGCCTTTTTTGTCCCCGCTCATCTTGGATGACAGCCAAATTTGCACCTCATGCAGAAATCGGGTCTGACTTGGAAGCCGCGATCAAAAGTCCATTGCCCGGGCGAAAAAACATACGAAGTATCTCGCGCATCAAATTGTTAACATCTCCCTGTATCTCGCGCGCTGTGTTCACGCGAAGATATCCAAAGGGACAAGTTCCACACTGTCGCATTCTCGACCAGCTTGGGTATTCCAGAAATGTCCAGTATACTGCCTCCGTCCCTCCTCCTTCATCGGGCCTTTTGATATTCCCCACAGTGGCTTCGTCTGAGTACAGAATTAAGGAAAGGTGATCGCGAGTGTGCTGCGACATTGACTTCCTGAGAAAAGGCACGAAACCAAGAACTCCCTGCGCTAAGGCCCATATGAGGCCGATCGGATTGATATAGTGAAACCAAACCTCGCTGCCATCTTTCATTGCCAGCGCAATGCAATCGATAAGGTGCCCAAACGGCGTCTCCAGAGGCAAAACATCTGGTTCATGGTTGTCACGGGATGCCTCTTCTCAGATACGGGGCAACTCAGCCTTCGAAACCGTAAGGTGATTCCCTATACTTCGACTCTGAGTCTTTTCTTTGGTGACATGTGCAACAAGCCGATTTCTGAGCCAGAAACAATCGAGGTGAGGAAGGGGAGGGGGGCACTTGCAAAATACCAAATCCAAGCACGCGTCAAGAAATTGTGACCGGGAGACGGCCATGTTCAAAGGATTGCTAAATTGATCGCGACACCTGCCATAACTGCGCCCTGGTGAGCCTACGCGAAATGAGCGCCCCTCAATTTCATTGGTATCCTTTCCTTCGTCATAGATTGTTTGGCCCCTTGCATGTTAAATCAAGTTAAGTCGAACCTAAATCTACAGACGGCCCATTGTATCTGTACTGTTTTTTGTTGCGCGAGCGTTTTTTTTCACCTTCGCCGATCCTTTCGTATCATCAGAACACCACCCGAGCTAAACCAATTACAAATGACCTAGCAAATTGCCTATTGCTTCGTATGTGTTTGCAACTGGCGACAGAGTTGCACATGCTTAGTTACCTAACAGCTCTTGCTGATAGGCTTCTAGTGGGCTCAAAAGAGAGCATCTTGACGCCCCAGAGGGGGTCTGGGCGGGAACCGGACAGAGGATCCTGCAGATCCCGGCAGCCCCAGGAACCCTTAGAAATCCTCAAGAATTTTTAAGAATCCCCAGGAATCCATTCCCAGAACACAACTCCCAGGCCACATTTTGATTGCCTGGAGCCAACTGTAGGCCACTTTGCGTTCGTCGTCTTCCCAGAAAACCGTTCCTGGGCCACGTTTTGAATGCCCAGAGCCAACTGTTGGCCCCTTCGTGTTTTTCGTCTTCCCAGAACACTATTCCCAGGCCACACTTTGAATGCCCGGAGCCAGCTGTAGGCCACTTCGTGTTCTTCGTGTTCCCAGAACACCCTCCCAGGCCACATTTTAAATGCCCGGAGCCAACTGTAGGCCACTTCGTGTTCTTCGTGTTCCCAAGACACCATTCCCAGGCCACATTTTGAATGCCCGGAGCCAACTGTAGGCCACTTCGTGTTCTTCGTCTTCCCAGAACACACTCCCAGGCCACATTTTGATTGCCCGGAGCCAACTATGGGCCACTTCGTGATCTTCGTCTTCCCAGAACACCAGTACTGTGCCATATTTTGAATGCCCGAGCTGAGGCAAGCTGAGGCTCAGGCTGGCTGAGGCCGAGGCAGGCTGAGGCTGAGGCTGAGGCACGCCGAGGCAGGCTGAGGCTGAGGCTGAGGCTGAGGCAGGCTGAGGCTGAGGCAGGCTGAGGCTGAGGCTGACGCAGGCTGAGGCCGAGGCCGGCTGAAGTTGAGGCTGAGGCAGGCTGAGGCTGAGGCAGGCTGAGACTGAGGCTGCGGCAGGCTGAGGCTGAGCCTGAGGCTGAGGCTGAGGCTGAGGCTGAGGCTGAGGCAAGCCGAGGCAGGCTGAGGCTGAGGCTGAAGCTGAGGCAGGCTGAGGCTGAGGCTGAGGCAGTGGCTGAGGCTGAGGCAAGCTGCGGCTGAGGCAGGCTGAGGCTGAGGCTGAGGCTGATGCAGGCTGATGCAGGCTGAGGCTGAGGCAGGCTGAGGCTGAGAGGCTGACGCTGAGGCTGAGGCAGGCTGAGGCTGAGGCGAAGGCCGAGGCAGGCTGAGGCTGAGGTTGAGGCAAGCCGAGGCAGGCTGAGGCTGAGGCTGAAGCTGAGGCAGGCTAAGGCTGAGGCTGAGGCAGTGGCTGAGGCTGAGGCAAGCTGCGGCTGAGGCAGGCTGAGGCTGAGGCTGAGGCAGGCGAAGACTGAGCCAGGCTGAGGCTGAGGCTGAGGCAGGCTGAGGCTGAGGCTGAAGCAGAGGCTGATGCAGGAGGCTGAGGCTGAGGCCTGAGGCAGGCTGAGGCAGGCTGAGGCTGAGGCTGAGGCTGAGGCAGGCTGAGGCTGAGGCAGGCTGAGGCTGAGGCCGAGGCACAGGAGGATGAGGCAGGCTGAGGCTGAGGCAGGCTGAGGCTGAGGCTGAGGCAGGCTGAGGCTGAGGCTGAGGCTGATGCAGGCTGATGCTGAGAGGCTAACGCTGAGGCTGAGGCAGGCTGAGGCTGAGGCTGAGGCCGAGGCAGGCTGAGGCTGAGGCTGAGGCAAGCCGAGGCAGGCTGAGGCTGAGGCTGAAGCTGAGGCAGGCTGAGGCTGAGGCTGAGGCAGTTGCTGAGGCTGAGGCAGGCTGAGGCTGAGGCAGGCTGAGGCTTGAGGCTGATGCACGCTGAGGCTGAGGCTGAGGCTGAGCTGAGGCTGAGGCTGAGGCTGAGGCAGGCTGAGGCTGAGGCTGAGGCAGGCTGAGGCTGAGGCAGGCTGAGGCTGAGGCTGAGGCAGGCTGAGGCTGAGGTTGAGGCCGAGGCAGGCTGAGGCTGAGGCCGAGGCAAGCCGAGGCAGGCTGAGGCTGAGGCTGAGGCTGATGCTGAGGCAGGCTGAGGCTGAGACAGGCTGAGGCTGAGGCTGAGGCAGGCTGACGCTGAGGCCGAGGCAGGCGAATCCTTCGGAATCCTTAGGATCCCCTAGGAATCCTTAGGAATCCCACGGAATCCCTAGGAATCAGGACTCCTAAGGATTCATAAGGTTTCCTAAGGATTCCTATGGACCCCTGAGGATGCCTAAGGATGCCTTAGGAATCCCTAGGAATCCTTAGGATTCGATTGGATTCCATTGGATCCTAAGGCCGTTGCCACTGCGACTTTCGTTGCGAACGCGACTGCGACTGCGAGAACAGCAGAATTCTACAACTGGATTCTCACCTGAATCTTAAGGGGGATGCTTCCAGATGTGCTTATACACATCGCTGTTAGGTTGCTTTGCCGGGATACTTTCTTCTGGTGTGTTTTATAATTTGTTGCTATGGTTATACGATGGGTTGTCGTAGTTATATGTAGGCATGCATATTCCAAATGTGCTACATGGAGGCACCCGCAAAGTACCACCTATAGGGTCCAGGCGTTTCCATGGGCGTGGCCCGCCGGGCGTCTGGGCGATTGGGCGTCCGTGCGTCAGAGCGCTTCAGGTGCCCGGGCGTCCGGGCGCTTGGGTGTCCGGGCGCCCGGGCGCCCAGGCGTACGCGCCCGGGCGCCCGGGCGTCTGGGCGTCCGGGCGCGGGCGCCCGGGCGCGGGCGCGGGCGTCCGGGCGTTCCGGCGCCTGGGCGCCCAGGCGTCTGGGCGCTTCGGGCGCCCGGGCGCCCGGAAGGACTCTTCTTGTCAGACGAATGTTAAGTAATTTGGTTACAGATGCCAGGGTACTTTGCTTATTATTGTCCTCCTCCTCCTCCTCGCCTGTCTCCCACCCTGCCCTCATCTACCCCTCCCTTCCCTGACTTCCCAACCTACCGACCTCTCTGTGGTTGTAGAACATCATCTGTTTCGATGGCGCAGAACAGGCATTATTAGAAACGATTCAGGGGACGAGGAACGGCATTGGCTTTTGAGAGCTTTTGAAACGATGCAGGGGACGAGGAATGGCATGGGCTTTCGGGAGTGGCATGGCATAGCACCCGTTTTCGCCGCTTGATCGCCGTAGTAATCACCATCATCGCGGAGGGGGGGAACCCTTAGGGGCGTCTCGATTCTGGCGTCGTGAGGAAAAGTACGAAAGTCAGAGGTTCAGTTTTTAACCGAATCCTGGAACCTCTGACTTTTTCGGCGGAGGGGGACCCTTGCAGGCAAGGCCCACCTACCCATCTCAGTTCTTCTCGCTCCTCCTCTCATCACATCTTTCCCCCATTCTTTTCATGCCATGCCTTGCTCTGCCTTGCTCCTCGTCCCCCCCCCTCGTCCTCTTCACCCTCGCCTCGCCCCCCCAACTCCTCATTGAATGCGTACTTGGCCCAGCTACTCATATGAGTAATCCAGAAAACGCGCAAAAGGGGTCATGCTGAACGGCCGCAGGCGCAAATCCTGCAACGTCATCCGCAACCTCCCTACTTTCCAGGACGCCGCTATACACGCTCAAGCCAGGAATGGTCTGAAAATCATGTTTCACATTCCAATTAGGAGCGCCCGTTTTTTGGCCGCCCAGAAGTAGGAACACCAAGTATATCATCGTCATCATCGTCACCATCGACATCGCCATCATGCTCGTCACCGTCATCGCCGTCATCATCGTCATCAATCATGTCCGAATGCAATGGATGACCATCGTTGTTCGACTCTGGTTTCATTGATCTGATCGCATCTGAATGCGGGTGTCTCGTTTTCTTGGTCCCATGTATAAGGGCGAATCGAAACGCTTCGCTCGATGTTCGAGGCGCTTGATTTTCGAGACGGTTGGCTTCGACAAGGCATTGTGGTTATACTTGTTAGGTATTGTGCCTATCCCCCCTCCCCCCTACATGGGCGTAGGTGGTAGGTGCTTATCCCCCCTCCCCCTGCTGGGCGGGAATCGCCAAGGTAGGGACCATGAGGCACACCACATCGGCCGCTTTTCCTCCTTGTCGTCGTCCTCCTCCTCCTTTTTCTCCTCCTCCTTTGCATCATTAGCACCACCATCGTCCTTCGCACTCCTCCTCCCCTCACCCCTCCTTCCCCTTCTCCCTCTTTCCACATGAAACCGATATGCTGTAGACCAGGGTTGGGTGCCATAGTTGTGGTGTCATCAGCGACCCCTCTGTAATCATTCACAGCTCAAGCATGTTGTATCGAACGTTGTTCTTTGGGCTTGTTTTCATCATGGTTTCCCTGCCTTCGAGCGTGTCTGAGGCCATGCCTGTTGTCGTCTCAGAAGAAGACGACTCGCTGCTGCCACCGAGCGTCGTCTCAGAAGAAGACGATCAGCCCGTTGATGTGCAGGAGGAGGAGGAGATGCTTGTGGATTTGAGCGAGTTGAATGCCTTTGACGAAGACCCTGAACACATTGAGGACGAAGATGAAACCCATCAATTGCAGCACATTGGGGATGAGATAATGAGACTGGATAGTACCATTGGACATGAGAAGATATATGATGTTCCTCTACCTGGCGTTGCTCAACATATTTGCGCACCACAAGACATCGCTGAATTCTATGCGCCTCCGCGTGTTGCACCACATGGTAGGGCACTCGGCTTGAGAGGGAACCTCAGTTTGGACATCCTCTCAGGGTGGATTTTTAATGATATTAGGTTGGTTGAGCTTTCTATCAAGTTGTTAACCCTCGTTGCTTTCGTTGTCCTGTGTCCCCCATGCACTGCCTTCAGCGTTGTTCAGAAGCTGTGGAATTTCAAAAAGTTGCCCATGGCGCGTGTCCAGGACAAATGGGCCCAGGGCATGCACTACCTCGAACATGCAATGGCGTGCGCAAAGAAACAAGCCCTGGACGGTCGATTTTTTATGTTTGAACACCCTGCTGGAGCAAGCAGTTGGGAACAGGCCTGTTTGCAAGAGGTCATGGCCTTGCCAGGTGTGCATAGAGTGCTAATCGATATGTGTAGGTTTGGCCTTGTTTCTAAAATTGCCAGGAAGCCAATGCGGAAACGCACGTACATTCTCACGAATGCCCCACCTGTTGTAAAAGCCTTGCAAGGGTGCTTATGCGATAGATCGCACGGGCACCAAGTGGTGGAAGGCATGGAGGGCGGAGTGCGTCGCAGCGTGCGGGCGCAAATCTACCCGGTTGCCTTCTGTAGGGTGCTTGCGCAATGTGCCCTCGAGTGCAGGGAGATACGCAGATAGTATTTCACAGGTGCAATGTAGGTGGGAAATTCAGATGCCTGGGTGATATGCCCCAGTATAAAAAAAAAACAGCCTTGTGGTGTTGAAGCTGCCTAGTCGCATGCGTGCACGATTCAAGTTGAATCGAACAGCCTGTAGACTACGTTGAAGTTGGAGCCAATGGAACATGCGATAAGCCACCGTTTGCGAGGCACTCTGCCCATACGAATGTACACTATATAAATAATGGGCACGTACATTATATACACGATTTGCATGTGCAGTATATACAATGGGCACGTACATTGTATACCATCGCCGAAAATGAGCACGTACATTGTATACAGTGGGCTCGTGCATTATATACAATGGTCACGTACATTATATACCACCAGTGTACACGGACGAAAAGCCCCCATAGAGCCCCTCTGGACCCCAGCAGGAATTACCAGGCTTCGAGCGCGCGCGCACGCATGCAACAACAGCTGTTTTTTCCCAAGCAGGTGAGGGGATCGTCCTGGCTCAACCTCCCCATTCTTTTGAATCTGGCGATGGCTGATGGTGACGACATCCCCTGCTCTTTGCCAGACTCGGTGGTCTCTGAGATTGAAGAGGTTGACCCGGTTCGTGAGGAGACGGAGGTCGAGCTGCCAGAAAGCGTTGACGAGGAGGAAGATGATACGGTATACTCGAAGTCTTGCAACTGCAAATCCAAATGCTACAAGCAGTTTTCTAGCAAGGAAATCGTTGAATCTAAGCAGGCGTGGGCATGCATCGAGAACGAGACCGAGAGGAAGAAGAAGCTGTTCCAAGCTGTCACGTTAGAAGTGAAATCAGCGGCCAATCAGGCCTCCAAGAAGATCAGAAAATGGACCCACAAAGGCAAAGATGTGTGCCGCCAGTCCTGGGCCTTCATCAACAGCACAAGCTCAGTCACAGTCGATCTGTACAGGAAGCATGTGAATGCAGGCGGGACGGAGCCTCCATTGAACCTTCCAAAGATGCCTGGGCCCAGGGCCAACACACAAAGCATGAAGGCCGACACGTGGTTCCTTGCCCTCTACGATTCGTTAGCCGAGCCGTGCCCCACTGAGAATGCCGAGGAAGTGAAAGTGGAAGAATCACACGAGCTCATCGAATCGCCCTCACACCCGCTGTGGATCTTGGGCGCCGCCCTCGACAGCGACACAGCTGCGCCGGAGAAGCGCTACGTGCCCATCAGGTTTCTGAACCCAGGGAACTTCGAGACCATCTGGTCCCAGTACCAGGCCGAAGTCAACAACGAGCAGCAGGTTTCAAAGAGTACTCTTTACAAGGCTGCATGGGCATCCAAAGCAAACCTCCTCATCCTCCACCACCCCCCCACCCCTCAGAAATCCATCGGGGGCCAGCTTGCTGGCTATGTCCCAAAGCTTTCTCGCCCTGCCCTCCTGCTCCTCCTGCTCCTTATCCTCTTGCATCGCCCTCCCCCCCCTCTCTCCTTCGCCATTGCCCCCCTGCCCGCCCGCTCCATCTCTGTCGACTGCCTGAGGGGCCATGGGGGGGGGCAGGGGGCAAGGGCGAGGAGGAGGAGTACGAGAGGGGAGAGGAGGATGAGGAGGGGGGCCACAAGGAATAGGAAGAAAAGGCGTCTGATGAGGATAACGAGGACAAGGGAGGAGGAGGAGGAGGAGGAGGAGGAGGAGGAGGAGGAGGAGCGGGAGGAAGAGGGCGGAAGAGGAGGAGGAGGAGGGATCGCATAATCCTACGCATGAAGAGGAGGAGGGAGGGGGGAGGGAGGGATAATGGGAGGAGGGGGTCTATGAAGGCATGGAACGACAATTGGAAGCGCTACATCATGTTCAGGAACATGGGGCAGGGCAAGCGCTGCAAGACCTGCGCCAGTTTAGACGCTAAACGTGTGTGTGCTGCTACAGATGCTGAGCGTGCGGAGGTGCCTGGGGATTGCGAATGGTGTTTGCTGTGTAGTGTGCCCTGCCTTCAGCTCCTGGTCGTCCGAGTGCAACCCTGGCCCCCCTGGTGCTTTGCTGGGGTGGCCCGGAGAGGCTGGGCAGGCAGCTGCATAAGCAAACGCAGCCAATCATTAGTAATCCCCATTTAGCTGGTCAAAGAGAAGAAAGTCCACATCGATTGCGTCAAAGCAGACCGCTCTCTGAACGTTCGCGGAAACATGAAGGCCCAGGCAGATGCGGTTGGCCCTGCCAGTCCAGATGGGGCAGGGCAAATACTCAAAATACACATCGACGGGATGGACCAAGCCAAGTTCAAGTGCCCGAGACTGACGGCCCCTGGGGTCCACAAACACATGCTATGCAAATCGTGTCAGTGGCAATGCAAGTATTATGCTAGGGCAATGTAGGTATTATGCTAGGGCAATGTGAGTATTATGCTAGGGCAATGTAAGTATTATGCTAGGGCAATGGTAGGGCTTGCTCGCCACGGCTAAGATCCCCCAATTATGTTTGCCTTAGCCCTGGTACTGATCGGCCCCATATGCACGACTGTGCGCGCGTGTCATGTCATGGCCCCCGCTGATGAAACATGTCCTCCAGACAAATACGGCCGAGATGAGCGACTTGTGGCGCCCAGCGCTGCACATGACAGGGGTGGCGGTGCGGGGGTACCTCGATGGCTTCTTTGTCATGAGTTCTGACCAGAAAAAAGATTCGAACATGCAGGCAACTGTCCTCTCGAGGACGCTGGATGTAGTATCTTCGATGTGCGATGGTCGAGGCACCTGCATGCCGCGCACGTTGATCCTGGGCGTTGACAACACATGCAGGGAGAGCAAGAACCAGTACTTTCTGACTTTCCTGGGGTGGCTCAAGAGCACCAAAAAGTTCGACACCATCGAGGTCCAGTACATGCAGAGTGGCCACAGCCACAACGAACAGGACCCCTTCGATGAGGTGGAGGAGGGAGGATGAGAATGATGGTGGAGGAGGGGCAAGGGGGGAGAGGGATGGCGCGGAGGAGCATCAGGAGGAACTGGCGGAGGGGAATGGGGAGGGGGAGGTGGAGGAGGAACTTCCAGGTCAACCTCTTGCAAGGGATGGGGAGGATGAGGGGGGGCAGGACAATGATGGCCATCGCGGTTCATCGTTGGGTCAGCCTCCCCAGGACCAACGGTTTTCGACTGTGGCAAGCAAGCTGGGCGCTGCGAGTGTGCTCCAGGACCCGCAGGAGTTCTGCGACTTCATCAAGGAGTCAGTGCCGAAAGTTGCAGATAGGGAGATCCTTGCAGAGGTTCTCGGCGGAACCTGCGATTTCAAGGAGTGGGTTCAGCAGCTGAACATCAAGTTGTCCGGCTTGGCTGCCACGCATCAGATGCACGACCCTGAGGTGACGCATGTGTGGAGAATCATGTCACGGGAGCTCCTGAAGTCCGCTGGTTTCGAGGATGGGGCCATCGAGTGCCCTGATGAATGGAAGGACATGGCCCCCGGGGGGCATGGCAGCATCCTCCTGCTGAAACACTTCATGAGTAGCTCTGTTTACAGCCAGGCCCCCTTGCTCCTGTTGCCAGAGGCGCTGGCCAAGAACCTGCAGAAGGATCAGGGTTGTTGGGGGCTGGCCATACCATTCTAGCCAGACAGGACGGCCCAAGACACCCCAGAGATCGCCCACCCCCCGAAAACGGCCCAGGCGTGCCGGCCCAAGAGGGCCACAAGACAACTCAGTCAAGACGCCCTTAGGAGTTTCCCAACAAGGGCCTTCAGGAGGGGCCTTCAGGGGCCTTCAGGGAATGTGGAGAGGGCCTTCAGGGGCCTTCTCCCTAAGGGTGACTCCAATAACCCTGGCGCCACCTCCTCCTGAAAGTCCCCCTCCATGTCCTCCTCCTCCTCCTCCTCCTCGTCCTTTTCTCTCCTCCTCTCTCCTCCTCTCTCCTCCTCGTCCTGCTCCTTGGTGGGGGGGCGCTGCATGAGTGCCAACCTAGATGCCTTCAGTCGGGCTCACAGGAGGACCTGAAGCCCCTCGAGCTCAATGCCCTGTCGGAGAGGACCATCAAGGAGTTCAAGAACACCGCGTCAGTGGTCCAGAAGCATCCTTGGGATCTCGCCAAGGCTCACAAATGCCTGAATGACTTATGCGATGCCAACTTGGCACGGACAGTGCCTGCGCCACCTGAGTTGCGCTTCGTCTTCGAGTACACCATGAAGCCACTTGGCTCCAGTGACCCGCTGTTGCCAGGACTGGTGTTCAACGGCTCTGAGGTCGGTGAGCCGCGCGTGGTGGAGTTGCAGGCGAAGAGAATCATGAGAAGGCCAGCTGCTGCTGCCATGAAACGCCCTGCAGGACCACTCAAACGCCCAAGTGCAGCGAAGATCCAGAAACGACCAGCAGCGGCAGCAGCTCCCGCTGAGGAGCCCCCCCAGGACGACGGGGAGGCCGAGGTGGACGAGGACGAGGGGCCTGAGGAGGGGGGCTTGCCTGGGGACAACGGCGACGAGGATGGGCCCCCAGAGGACGAGGACATGTTCGACGACGAGCAGGGCGACGACGAGGACGGGGCGCCCCCAGTGCCGCCTGCGCCCCCACCCGGTCCGCCTCGGCCGCCTGCTGGGGCCGACCGCGCGACTGGGTGCAGCAAATGCCGCTGGGTGAGGAAGGGGTGCGGCGGGTGCCGCGCGTGGGCCCAGAGTGGGCACAGGGGCTACTACTATGGCCCAGACGGTGAGACAGTGATGAGGGGCCCAGCATAGATAGGAGAACTCCTTCCTGCCATCTCGCAAGATACGCACTTGAAGTGCATGATGTTTCGAATGAACAGCCTGCGGCCACTACTACCACCACTACTGGCACTGCTGTGCCACCAGCATGGCTGTTCATGATATGTTTTGCTTCAGATGCATCACTGCGAGTGTGGTGGCAAGCTTGCTTGGGACAGAGAGGCCGATTTAAAGTGCGCCTCCGTTATGCTTCGACTGCGGTGAATCTTGGCGGGAGCCGCCATGATTGCTACAATATACATCGCCTGGTGCCAGTTTTCTGGCAGCCAGGATCTCCCGGTCGTGCGCAAAAAAAATATGGGAGGAGGTCTAAGGGGGAGGCTTGGTCCAGCTTTGGAACGTGGATGAGGAGAAGTTCGCAGAGGATGGGAGGATGATGAGGAGCAGGATGAGAAACAAGAGAAGGGCAGGCAAGATAATTAGGATGCTTACGCATACACAAACGTGGTAGCCAGCTTGCTGGCGGCCAGCTAGCTGGCCTTCGACGAAGAAATCAAGATGGCAAGGGAGGGGCACCGACGAATAGCATCACACAGAGAAACATTGCTTCTGCTGATTGAAACGAAGAGGAGGAGGGACGAGGAGAGCAGGGAGGAGGAGGGGGCACAGGAAGGAGGAGGAAGGAGGAGGGAGGATGAGGAGGAGAAAGAGGAGGAGGGGACAGCTCTGCTGCTGCTGCTGCTGTTGCTGCTGCTGCTGCTACTTGAGATGTCCATCCCTGGTCTGCGTGACGCAGAACGGCGCCTCTTGGGGCCCTCTTGGAGCCATCCTGGTGCCCTCTGGGAGCTGTGTCGGACCTTTAGGGGCGGTCTCAGGGGCCCTCAGAAGGCCCCAAGAGGGGCTCTTGGGCTCTGATGGGCCCCAGACCTTGGATGCGAACCTTGCGTCCTAGGTTTGCCCCTCCCGATGGGCCATCTTGGAGCCCTCCTGGAAACATCTAGGGGCCCTCTGGGAGCCGTATCGGGGCTCTAAGGGCGGTCTCAAGGGCCCTCAGAGGGCCTCGAGAACGGATTTTGTTTTGCCCCCCCCTTATTCAAGGCTTTTTTTTCCCGAGGCCCTTTCGGAGCCCAAGACAGCCCATGACGCGCGCAAGACAGCCCAAGACAGCCCCAAGACGAAGATGAGGGGGATTCAACGAGCGCGGCCAACCATAAACAAAACAAGCAAAGAACAACAACACATGGGAACAACACACATAACAAACAACCAACAACGCTATTTTCCGTTTAGGGCCGCGAGGGCCCGTGAAGGGCGGGCATTGCAATGTAATGTTGGATTTGTAATCGGATTTCGCACTAGCCATTTTGGCTCAATCAAGCTGTTCGTTCAGGCGCTCGTTGGCCGTTGGGTCGATGCACTGGTTGGCTGATGTGTTGACGGGGGCGCCCCCGCGCCGCAGCCACTATGATGATCGGGCAGAAGACTTGTTGAATCATCTGCTGGACAGCCCTCCTGGCAGAGGCTGTGGAGCAGGCGCTGCCGGTGCAACCAGGATGGCCAGGCAGCGCGTAGATGTTGCTAGTAGCAGCAATGCCCGCGGCCGCAGTGGCGCGCCTGCGGCCCGAGTAGAGGAGCAGCGCGCAGTTGCAAGGGCAGTCAGGCAGCGCGTTGGGAGCGCGGCGCCTGTGGCCCAAGTGGTGGAGCAGACCTGTCCACCATCATTATTAGCTGGTGGAGTTCACCAGGAGAGAGCGCGCCTAGGTGGAGCTGGTGCCCACATGTCGCGGCCAGCTGGAGGCAGCAGGGTCGTTGCCAGAGCCGATGGACCAGGCGCCAGTGGAGAGGGCCAGCTGGAGGCAGCAGCAGGGCCGCTGCCAGAGCCGAGGGGGCAGCACCGCCAGTCGAGGTGTTGCCGGAGCATCGTCGTGCGGAGCCTGGGACATCCATCACCAACAACACACGTTGGTGGCAGTAGTGGAGAAGGCCGCGCGAGTGCGCAGCAAGGAGGAACCCCTGTTGACGATGCCAGAACCCATGATATTGCTGGCCCCTCGTGTCCAGCTGCTGCTGACAACGCCCGGGCTCAGGATGCTGCTGCGCCGCCCCTCGACACGTTCTACTTTCTTCGATTCGCGCCAAAGAACGACACAGAGGTGGAGCGCGCCCGTCAGGCCCGCTGGGAGCGTGGGAAGGAGGAGGCCGAGGAGTTGATCACCGCTGCTCTCGAGCGGCATGGCCCTGATGTGGAAGCGGTGGCGCAGCCAATCATGGAGGTTCCCATGGAAGTGCTGCTGCAACGTGCGGCCATGGAGACAGCGCGGGTCACCCAGGGCGGAGGTCGAGCCTACATAGGCTCGACTTCTGACCCTGGGTGGCGGTGGCGCGGCGGATATTATCTACCATCTCCTGGCGATCGAGGCGGCCGCCGTCGCAGCCATCATCATAGTGAAAGGGAGTTCTTTCCTGGCCACCACTTGCAATGGCGTCGCCTGCTGGTGCTGGGATGCTGGCGTGATCACGAGACCCGTCTCGTGGAAAGTGAAGCTATCAAGCGCGGGCAGAGGGTTGCACCTGGGCGTCTGACTAACAAAGCGTCAGACGCCCGGGGGCTGGAGGTCCGCCCCTGGAGTTTCTCCTTCGTCTACATCTGCTATGGCGCGAAATAATGGATAGCAGAGGCATCAGAGTTTATCAGATAATAATGTTTTGCATGCTTGCTACCGTGCCCCCAAAATAGCAGTGTGCAGTGCGCCTTGCACTCATATTGTAATGTATTCTCACTGGCGCAAGCACTGGTTCCGCCATGAAGGGCAATCAATATGCAGTCAAACACGGTCAGATGTTCTGGTCCTCCTCTCCTCTTCCATGTCTCCTCCTCCTCCTCCTCCTCCTCCTCCTCCTCCTCCCCCTCCTCCCCCCCCTCCTCCTCCTCCCCCTCCTCCTCCCTCCCTCCTCCTCCTTCCTCCTCCTTCCTCCTGCCCTCTTCCCCCTCCTATTGTCCTCCTCTTCCTCCGGTCTGTCCTCTTCCTCATCATTTGTTGGGGGCCAAAGCACTCTTGGAGTCCGTGTGGAGCAGATTTTTTTTGGAGCTGATGCTGAGATGCGCGGGATTCCCCGGAATCCGGCGCATCTCGGCGCCTGTCAGCATCAGGGCCAAAAAAAATCAGGATCTTGGTTGCATATCTTGATGGAGCAAACGGACCGCGCACCAAGGGGGGGCCGCGCAAGTCGGGCCCCTGGATCCAAGGTGCGAGATGCGCGGGCTTCCCCGGAAGCCCGCGCAAGTCCTGAGGGCAGCGGCGGCCCCGCGCAAGTCCCCCCCCGTGTGGACCCCCCCCACTTGTGCGGGCCCCCGCTGGGTAGCACGACTTGCGCGGGCTTCCTCGGAAGCCCGCGCAAGTCCACCCTCTCCTGGGGACCCTCGAGTTTTGCAGGATCTCTGGGGACTCTCCTGATGTACATCCCCCCCCTACCTAACTGTTGATCGCATTGCCCATGAAGAGAACTCCATGGCTGTGATGGCCCAAACAGGTTCCTGTGCCACACGGACACATCAATGTAGTTGTCATTAGCTTTGCATTCAAGCACGGTTTGCGATGGCTGACGACAACATACCCACATCGTCCAAGTGGTCATCAGGATGGCTAGACGATGGATGGCAAGGCGACGCTGCTTCTTGGTGGACTTGCGATCCTACTTATCCTGGAAACCAAAGTGCCTGGGGTCCTGGTGGAGTTTCAGGTGGTGATACCTGGTGGTGGAACAATGGGGCTCCTGCTGGTGGGTTTGATGACGTGGCGCACTGTCAAATACCTGGTGATCATGATCATGATTCTGACTTGGGTCACCCGGCCTGGGACTACGCAGCCTGGTATCGTGCAGAAGAAGAAGTCGCTGCTCAAGCTGACCAGGCTGCTCAGATGGCCGCTCAGAGTGCTCCGCTCATTGAAGACGAGTTCGAACGCATGGCGGCCGCAGACGTTGAGAGCAAGGTCAATTCACGGACGTTGGTGGACATAGAGGGGTTGACATTGCCAACGCCGCCTGGCTTGCGTGCGCAGCTCAACGTCATGGACGACGAGTTCGAACGCATGTCGACCGCAGACGTCGAGAGCAAGGTAAATTCACGGACCTTGGTGGACGTAGAGGGATTGACATTGCCAACGCCACCGCCTGGCTTGCGTGCGCGGCACAAGAAGTTTATTCCAGAACCTAGTGACATGGCTGGGCAAGAACTCCGACGTTTGCGGGGCAAGAAGAATGCGCGTGAGGCAGTTCGCAAAGCTAAAAGACGGGCCGAAAAAACAAAAGTTCGAGGCGCAGCAGCAGCATCAGCAATCGCAATGTAGCAAGCATCTTCATGTGTAGTTTTCGCAGGCGCAGCAGTGTCAGCATAATTCGCAACACGCTGCATGCACTGCATTGTATTATGATATACAGGTAAGCGGGTTGCGTTCTCGCTAGCCTACATGCATTGCGAGTGAGTGTCCGAGTGCGCCTTGGAAAAAGCAAGCAGGGGGGGTGAGCCGAGCGACTTCGCAGGGAGGTGCTAAAGGGTAGCCACATGGTGGCAGCCCTGCTACAACTCGCAGACCGTGCATCTTACCCCTCCTGCCGCTAGTTGTGCGAACTCATGGTAGCCAGCTTGCTGGCAACCATGCCCCTACTGCTACTCATGGTAGCCAGCTTGCTGGCAGCCATGGTGCATCGATTGCTCCCCCTCCCCCCCTCCTCATTCAGATATGGACGACGATGCAAATGACGAGTGCGACACGACGATGATACTGGTAGTGGTGGCGAGTTTGGTACATATCAGTGCGTAGTAGTGGGGCCGAAATGTGTTATGGTCTCGTGGTTGTGTTGAGCGTTTTTGGGTATGTCTAGGGGGCTGCCGCTGTGTCACAACACGAGATGTGTGATGGGGGTGCGCTCTAAACAGCTGTGAGTGCATGGTGAATCTGCTCTGTCTGTGGGGGCAGTCTCCCATAAGAAGTACATAGCTGTTCTGGCTCTGCCTGAGGGGATGCATTTTTTCCTGCGCCTGAGCTTCCTGGCATCAGGATGTCTTGGAACATGGGGGAAGGCTCCCCTGTGGATGCAGCAGGAGGATGCTCCACTCCACCAGCAGGAGGGGCCGCCTCTGCAACGCCAATCCCCCCCCTGGCGACGCATGCGCTGCCCAGCCCGACCAGCCCCATGGCCTGCGCAAGCGTGGATCATCAAATTGGTTTGGGTGATGTGCAAGAGGACCAGTCTACGGAGACCCGCGAGGCCAACATCATTGGGGAGACCATTCGAGCGATGCACACGCTCAGCATCCAGCATGGCAGCCTCAAGACCTACCTCGACAAGGAGTTGGACAGCTTCACTGCGAAGAAGGATATCCTTGAGTACCTCAAGCGAGTGTTCCCCGAGAGAGACGACGTTCACTACGAGCGTGGCGTGTTGGACCCGGTCCTGGAGATGGATAGGGCAGGGTCTTTGCCTCAATGTGTGCATGTCTCGGCGCTGAGCTTCCTGCCTGCATGCAGCCTCAAGCCTCCGCCAGGCTGCGACGTCACAGATCAATTGGTCGGTGAGATATCCCAGGACGGCTTCGTAACGGCTTCGGACCCTTTGTTGGTTACTCAACCAGCTGAGCTTGCAAGTCTTAGCGAGGATGACGATGCGCGTGGCTTCTATCTTGGCTATGCCAAGGGTCAAGCCCGCGCTGTGGCCATCTTATCCATCCTGCTCTACTTCATGAAGAATGAGTACGACCTCAAAGTGGTGCATCTGAAGCTTTATGAGAGCATCCTCGCCACCTATGTGCATTCCATGAAAGTGAACTCCAAAGAAGAGGAGGCCCTTCTGAACATGAAGCTCTCGTGCAGAGGTTCGATCCGGCGTGCTAACAACATCGTGGAAGTGGTCTTCATGCTGCAGAACCTCTCGAACCGTTATGGCATGAGCGACTCAGCTGGCTTCGTGCGCCGGTGGTGTGGACAAACAAACAAAACCTAGAAACGAAGTGTTCGGTGTGGAGTGTCAGTAGATATGTAAGCCATTGCGAGTAGTTCTCATTGTGCCGAATTTCTTAATGTGAAAAGCTGTTCAGGGGATGGGGTCATGCCGTGCGCCAGCGTGTGCGCGCTGGCCCTGCACTGCCCCTCGTGATGGTCAGGCCTGTGTCCAACACTTGTGATGCATTCAGGACCCCTCTTCTGCCAGGTGGAACAACATGTCTTCCAAGCAGTTCCAGATCACTGGGAAGAGGGCTGTGGCCTTGAAGCAGCTACTGGAGGTGGCACCCAAGAAAGCCCTCGATTCCATCTTGGCTCACGTGGGGAAGGAACCTGGGCTGGCAGCAGTGCGTGTGGTCCGAGGAGGTGCTGTCCAACAAGAAGATCTACCCAAAGTTCAACTTCCCTTGCAAATCTAAGAAGTGGATCCCACGAGTGAGGACCACTGACGAGAGCCTCTGCTTGATGATCGAGCGGGTCCAGAACCTACATGAAGCTCAGAACCAGATGCTGCGCATGAAGATGACCCCGCATGTGGCAGAGATGATTGCTGAGAGCGCAGCTGCTGTGCTTGCCATTGCGCAGGAGATCAGCTTGACCGCGCCGATTGACGATGCGAAGCTTCAATCGTCATGGGTGCGAGCACGGGCTGAGGGCTCGGACCACGTGCACACGGAGATCCAGATGGGGCTGATGGAGAAGAGCGACAGCTTCGACCCGGCAGTGCACCTATCAACGATGAAGCGCCTACTGGACGAGCACATTTTCCAGGCCCCCCTGGCGCCTGCGGAAGAGGTCAAGCGGTCCCTCGACGTGGGCGAATTCAACCTGGACATGAAAAAACTAGAGTACCATACTACGGTGTTCGAAAACTGGGAGAAGAAGTGCGATAATGTTGTCACTGCCCGCTACCATGCAGAGCAGGAGCCATCATGAGGAAAAAAACGAACATATCTAAAAACACAGCGTTGGCTGCTCGAAACCCCTGCGATATGACATACTCCCTAATCCTCCTCCTCATCATCTCCACTCCTCCTCCCTCCTCCTCCCCCGTTTCCCCCATCTGCCCTCCCTTCTACTCCTCCTTCTCCTCTGCCCACTGCCTGTTGGAATGTGCAGTGGACCCTCTGCCCTCCTCCTCTGCCCTCTGGTGCTCTCGTCTGCCCTCTCTCGCCCCCCTTCTGCCCTCTCTTGCTGACCCCTTACATGGCGAATTCGAAGGAGAGGAGGGGGAGGAGCGGTATCGTCGCCATCGTCGTCCCAAGCTGTCACCCTTACCATGGCAGCCCCACTCAAACCTGAAGGGCACCATACGCTTTTATAACCCAGCCCCAAGCCCTGAACCCCAACAAATTACAACGAGGGGTGGGCCTGTGACCGCGCCAAGCAGCCCGCCTGCAAGGAGCATCCGCATTGCACATTTCTCCCCTGCCTCCACCTTCGAAAAGGCCCGTGGGGGGCCCAGAGATACCAGGACGCCTAGGGGTGCCATCTTCTAGTGCTAAGGAGTCCAGGACGCCTCGGGGGCCCCAGGGGCCCAAGAAATCGAGTTGCAGCAACATGTTAAGAACCATGCCCTGCACATTGACCTGCTATGTTTTCTGGAGTCGATGCTGGTGGAAATTGGAGCCCATTGGCAGGCCTTCAGAGATCTTTGGCACTGGTGCTGTTTAGATAGAGGCTCATGCTTCTTGAGCCTCGGACAGGAGCACAAGATGAAGATCAAGGGCCAATGTAGGAAAGCAGCCGAGAAGTTCCTGAGTTCGTGCGTGAAGATTTCAGTCCTGACGGGCAAGGTGGAGGAGTGCATTGCAGACATCACTGCCTTCAAGCGCGACACGATCCAGAAGAAGACTGGAATCTCCATGGGCGACCTGCCCACGCTTGTCATGCTGAACTGGACCACCCCATGCTCGTCTCACAATGAGGATTTCGACAAGCAGGCGAAGGTTCTCAACTGGATCCTGCACGAGAATATCAAGAACGTCGCTTGTGTGCTTCTCCCGGTGTACTCGTACAACCGCGGGGAGCTGTACATGGAGGAGGTGAAAGCAGTGAAGGCAATTGGCGATGCTGGGCACAACCCGGACAGCAGCTTCAGCCTGCTCTTCAAAGACCAAGTCGATCCGAGGGACAGGCGGCCGATGAGCTACCCTGGGAGGCTGGTGTTTCCAGCGGGGTGTTCAGAACTAAAGGACCACCCGTTCTTCACCTGCCAGCTGAGGGTCATCGGGCGCACCAAGGAAGCGAACCAGATTCCTGGCAAAAAGATGAAGATTATCGAGGAGCTCTGGAAACGCAAGGGGTGACATATGTAAATAATGCATGCATGTCTAATCCTGCGTCGTGCGTTTTATATGTGCAGTGCATATTTTGTTGGCATTGGGGTATCATATAATGAGCATCTGAGCTGGTATATGTTATGAAGGGAGCATGAGTTAGAACAGTCAATATTTCATTGTAGGGCCCTACTGTTGTGCAGTATGTCGCTTGGGGGCAAACCAGACAGTCCAGGGGGGGTCCTCTATGCATAGATATGGCCAGTCATTGTCCTATGAATGTGTCGGTCAACTGTTGTGACCTCCTCCTCATCCTCCCCCTCCTCCTCCAAGTCCTCATCCTCCTGCTGCTCCTCCTCCTTCTCTCCCCCCATCCTTATCATCGCATTTACCCCCCCCCCTCTCCTCTCCCCCCCCCCCCCTCCTGCGTATTCCCTCCCCTATCCCCCTCTTTCACATCGCTGCGCCGCTGCCATCGGCGTCCAGGAGCGAAGGAAGAGCTCCTGGAACACTGACCTCTCCTCGGAGACCCCATACCTCAGAAAAGTTATGGGCGAATTCAAAGAATACTGCTCCTCCTCTTACCATCCCCCTACCCCCTGTGCCATTAAGATCCTGCAGGACCTCAGCGCGGATGCTTTGCCTCCTAGTACTGACCACCGAGCCTCCTATCTTCATGGCCCCCCAAAGTTCTCCCAGTTCGGGCCCGAGGCGAGCAAGTGCCTCCTTGAGAGCCTCACAACTGGGGCAAACCTAGGATCGCACAAGGCGTGTTTCATTCTGGACCTCAATATCAAGTGCGGCGAATTCCTGGAGTCCTTCATCTCCCAGCGCAACGTCCTTTCCACCAGTTTCTTTTACATGGGGATTGCGGAGACGATGCTGGAATACACGTGGGTAATCCATTCGATGCAGGAGCTCGCAGAAGAAAAAATCAAGGACGGTTCCCTCGAGGTCCCAGGGCTCAAGATGGACTCCAAACTCAACGACGACCTCCTGGAACCTTATCCGGCTCTTCCAAAGATGAATATGCTGGTGGTTAGCGGACCAGACAAGAACAAATTGTTCATCCCGGTCGAGGTGGTGAAGAAGTGGCAGAACCATCCGCAGTTCGGGGGTCAGTTCAGCGAGTGGCTGGACAAGTTCACCAAGAAGCATGGGGTCATCGAGGACACGACCAAGGCACCTGGTGCTGGTGCTGGTGGTGCTGGAGTCCCCAATCCCCTCAAGCGTGCAGCTGACGGTAACGATGGGATCCCCTCCCCGGCGAAGAAGCAGAAGGTTGCTGATGTCTGCGTGGTGGGCGCCTCCAGCATCCCCCATGCGCTCCTCTGGGAGGTAAAGGTCAACACAAGCGTCCAAGTCCAGCTTCAGATCCGCGCTAACCACAACATCTACCTCATCAACAAGGAGTCCAAGGATATCAGCATTGCAATTCACACGATGCTGGCGCAGTTCGGGAAGGGAAGCTTTAAGATTCTCACACAAGAGGAGCTAGACAAGAAGAAACACCACCAGTGGGAGATCAAGGACGAGAAGGAGCTGGTGGTGATGAACAATGTGGTGCAAACTGTGGGAGCAGCTATGCAGGCTGTTGCCAATGGGGTGCCGAGGCTCGCCTACCACAAGATCACGATCAACGACGCAGACCCGAAGTGCTTCACTGCTGAGCTCACTCACAAGATTGCTTTCGTGGCTGCTGAAACTAGCTCAGAACAGGCTGCAGTCACCCCGGCCAACATCGCATCCAAGGAGCTCCCATAGTCATGTGGATGGCTCGCTGGAACTCGACCAAAGGATTGATGCCGATCAAGCCTGCAGTCTACCTCAAGGGAAATGTGACGCTGGGGGCGGGCAAGGCGTGCCACTGCTCAGCGGTGGCCACTGCTGCGTGAGGCTGGCCAGGACAGTATGTGGAAACCAGTGCGCTGGCATCCATCAGATTTTGATTACATGCTGGCAGATGTTAGAAGTGACATGTGGTTGCCCCACCCACTTCTTCTTCTTCTCCAATCACATGCCCCCCCAACCCGCCCCCGGAGCAACCACTTAGCAGACAGCTTGCCTGCGCGAGACGATGTTGGCATGTATTTTTTTGATGCCTGCAGAGGCCAGTGCAAGACGAGTTTGGCATGTATCTGGGGCGCCTGCAGGACTCTGAGTGGAAGTAACGCACTGTCGAGGTTGCAGGACTTGGGAGCTCACGTGATGTTCAGAGTCTAGTCATGGAAGTTATCTGAAAGTGTTTTCCCCACCTACACTGTGTTGCAATGTATCGCTATATGCGTTGCATTTGTGTTGCAGTAGATGCTATGTGATGGGGTGTTGCAGCTAGAATGCCCTTGCCAATCTATCGTGTTGGTAGAGATGCCCGTGCATGCCAAGGTGTAAGAGTTTTCCTGGATCCCCTGCTGAAAAGCAACACAGACACATATAAGCCTTACTGTTCCTTGCCAATGACTCCTCCTTGCTGCCGCTCGCTGCTGGGAGAAGGTGGAGGGCGGCGAAGAGGAGGCAGGATCAAGGAGAACAAGAGAAAGCGCTGACATGCCAGCAAGCTGGCGGCCAGCAAGCTGGCGGCCAGCAAGCTGGCGGCAAATCAGGAGGATATGAGGAGCAGGAAAAGATGGGATGAGGAGTACAATAACGAGGGAGCAAGAGAGGAAGTAACATCATCATTATCATCGCCGTTATCATCATACTAAAACCTCTGCTAGCTGTTCCACATGTCCTCCTCCCCTTCTTCCTTCTCCCCCTCCTCCCCCTCCTCCTCCTCCTTCTCCTTCTCCTCCTCCTCTCTTCCTCCTCCTCCTCCTCCTCCTCCTCATCATCATCATCATCATTACCATCATCATCCATCTCTCTCAGTTGAAGGCCAGCTCGCTGGCCGCCAGCTTGTCGGCTACCATTTCTTTCTCATCCTCCCCTTTCTTTTCTCGTAGCCGTTTTGGCCCAATCTGTCAATGTCTTGTGGATGTGGGTTCGCAGTGCTCCTCAGGAGCGATGGCACAGCCGTGGGCTGCGGCTGCCCTGACAATGGTGTGCTGGACATCCCAGCGCTGCCCGACGGCCTCACCTACGCGGAGGTTGCCGCTGGGTGGATCTGTCCTCGCAGCGCTCGTCAGATCTGACGGCACTGT